ACCCACCCAAAAGCAATATTTTTTTTCGAGTTTTTCGGGTTCAGTTCGGGTGTCGGTTTAATGCTCACCCCTAATAAAATCATACGGAAATTTATTTATTACGTGCGTAATTCTTATTTTTGTTAAATAATTCAATCATTTTTATGAGTTGAATAACTTATTAAACAGTAATATACGTATTACTGTACTTAATTTAGTTAATTTTGATGTTTAATTTTTTTTTTATGTTAGATAACTTTAATAGTTGAATAACTTGACAAATAAAACATGAAAAAAAAAATGTTATACAAATTTAAATAAGTCAACACAGACATTATTTTGAGATAATGAAATATTTTTTAGATGTCTCATGTATGACGATCCACTATAGTTATCACATTATATAGTTTAGCTATTCGTAATGAAAAGTAAACAACTAATTACTTATGATGTGTGTATTAGTGTATACACACATGTGTAAAGAAATTCAAAACAACTAAAATAATAGAGTAATTATATAAGTATACAAATATGTATAATAATGCAGTACATAAAAAATAATAATTCTAAGTCAACAGTGAAGTAATACTAGCTACTAAATTAGTTACATTGGAGTAGCTCAAAAGATTAATACTTCCATTACAGATATGACCTCACAAAACTCCACCTCTAGCCTGTTCTTGCCCACTCTCATACAACTCTTAAGGGAAGGATCCTACAAATTCTTAGGGCCAATTGAAGAAAGGAATTATCTTTGACTGCTTTAGAGCACCTTTATCTAATTTATCTCTAAAATTTATTAAGAAATAAAATTTTGAAACTCAAGTATTAAAAGAAATATTATATACCTTATTCTTACGGTCAAACTGTATTTATACTAAGAGAAACTGAAACAATATAATCCTCTCAATAATTTTTAAGTTTTGAGAGTTTCTCAATAATTAAACCACAAAATCATCACAACATATAATTTAACAAAATTAGCAAATAAATAAATACAATTGCACAGTGTTACATCATGATAACTTTCATCCTAAATCTTTTTTACACATAAAAAATCAATAAATAAATGAAAAAAAATAGTAATTTTATGCAGCTAATCTAATTATTAATTTTTTTATCAGAAAAATGAAACAATGCAACTCAAAATAATATTATTAAAAGTTAAAAGAAAAGATATAATTAATATTACGTTAAAAAAACTAAAATAACGCTTATTTAAAAAGTCATTTTTATTTCTTATATGACGCAATAAATAAGTGTTACAGTTAGGGGTGGGTATATGGACTTGAGCGGACTGGTCCGTAAGTTCGCGGACTTCACGGATAACAGGCTCATTTTTTTTAATCCGTATAATCATACGGACTTTTTAGGTCCGGTCCGTTTAGTCCGCGGATTTTGCGGATTTAATCCGCGAGCCCGCGGATTACCCGTTTAAATGTGGACTCAAATTTTATTATTGAAGATGCTTGATTCACTACAAGAAAATTGTCGTATAGTGACACACACCCTATAGTGACATAATACGTGTCACTAAAAACTACTTTTACCTACACAATAAATATAATATATGTTGGTATATTGTTAAAGAATGTAGGTATAGGCTATAGTGACACACAAAATATGTTGTTAAATTTCATTCAAAATCAACACTAAAATTGTATGTAGCTATATGTCAAATAGGTATATACCTACATATATTCATTTTTTGTAGTGATTATATTTGATAGATGTAATTGGACTTACAAATATTTTATGTTTGTTTTTAAGATATTAATTAAGACTTTGATGTTTTAAGGTATTTAGACTTTGATGTACTTGGACTTAAAAATGTTTTATATTTGTTTGGTTGTGTATTAAGACTTTTAAAGTTTTAAGGTAGTAAGGCTTTAATATTTGGTTAATAGTTGGTATGCTTGGACTTTAAATTTTAAAGGCATTGAGACTTAAATATTTCTATTAGAAATTTAGAATGTGTAAACTTTGTTATTTAAGACTTTGATTTATTATTTACAATGTTTGATGTTATTATTAGAAGTATATTTATATCATTTTATATGTTTTTTTTTTCCTCATGTTTTCATAGGTTAAATAAAGAAAAAAAAATTTAAAATCTGAATCAATATTCATTTAAATAATTTAGATTTAATTGGGCTTGCGGACTTATCCGCTTATCCGCGGGCTTCACGGTCCGGATACGGACTTGAAGATTTAAGTCCATTTATTTCGCGGACTGGATTTATCTGGCCCGTTAAAAATGCGGACTTCGCGGACCGGGCCTTAAATGGGCCGGACCGGTCCGCATTGTCTTGTTAGCATTTCTTTATGCAACAATGCGGACTAGTAGGCGAATCTCATTTAATTTGAGAAATTTTCCCTCCTATTAATAATTTGATACTAGAATATTTTCGGTCCATCTTGAAACAGAGACCCATCTATTTATTTTAATGCGAGGAGGGGGATCAATGTCATGAGCACGATCACTTTATGAAACGTCATTAAATATGTTTGACAATCACAGGCTGGTTGTCCCTAGAGATCTAATTGAATGGTAGTTATTATCGAGTAGAGGTAATCGATTAATAAGACAAGTATGCCAACTTCGAACATCAATATTTCCATTGCATGTTGGATGTCAAAACTCAAAAGCCCTTACAGTACAGGCCATGTGAACTTATTCACGAGGGCCCCTTTCATTCACTTTAAGGTTCAAGGGTAGCAATACCATGGATCATGTTTATTTTCTATCTTATTTTCCATTCCAACACATGATGTGTTGTTTAAGAGAGAGAGAGAAATAAATAAAAACATGAGTAACAATATATGTTTTTTCTATTACAAAGAAAGTGAAAAAGAAAATCATTTTTTTATTTAAATTTCAAATTTTTCTCTCCACCTTTCTAAACACTTTATGGTTAATATGGAAGGGCCAAAGCCAGCAAGGTGCATGGAACTTTCACATTACTTACTAAGCTGCTATGGTTTCTGGTGTTGAGAAAAGGGTCTACATTACTTTTTTTTTTTTTTTTTAATTATAACGAAAAACCTGCATTACTGACTTCTGCTGTTCTGCATGTAGACCATTTCAAAATGATTAAATGCTTTTCACATATTATTTGGTACATGCATTAAGTGGTGAATAAAATATGCTGTGTCCAAAAAGGTACAAAGTGAATCCAATGTCAATGATTTATATGGCATGAACTTCTAATCCAACCGTAAAATTATGATAATTAAATTTATTGAATAGTAAGTTACTTTTGCAGTATATAATTTATTTTAAATCACGTTGTTTTCGTATACGTACAAATAAAGTTATATATATTCCACTTCTTTTCCCGAATGGGAATGAAACTGCAAACTGGAAACGTTACTTTATTCTATTCATTTTCGTGTCTCTCTCCTCCAGGTAAAAAACAAAGAAACGATGATACACTACAATGTACCATGGAAAGTGGAAAGAGGTTCCCATAAAGACTGTGCTAATTATATTCCCAGTAAGAAGCAAGCATTGATCCCAGCTTGGGTTGTCGATTCCACACGCAACGCATTAAAGGAACCCTTCTGGAAACTTCGGTAAAACAGTTGCTAAATTAAAGACTAGTAGCACGGTAGCTAGAAGAGACAGCCTTTGATGCAATATTTTGTTCTTAGAGTGACAAGTGTAACAACTGATTCATAGTTTTTAATTTTACAATTTATAATGTACGTGTAAGTATATTTTTTTCGTAACTTAATATTTTAATTTCTAAAGTATAGCGATAAAATTGTAAAAGGAAAAGCAATAGCTGAGGGAAATAGACACAAACATGATGAGCCGATAAAGGCTTGGATTAGAACAGAAGAGTCTTGGTGGCTGCAGTTAAGCTTACAGTTATATTGTTCACGATCCAACGCTGAAGACGGTGTGCAAATTTGAATTCAAATCTCGAAACCAAGATTGTTTGCACATGGAGGGGTGTTCCTTGAGCAATAAACTTTTAATCAAATACTTCATTAAATACATTGATCCTCGTCGGTGCCCCTAAATTAATGGTTCTTGGGGATATATCTCTATAGACGCCCCACAACCATAATCTCCATCTGCACCTGTAGATGGTGACCTCCATGGTTGGGGACCATTTCAAACCGTAGCAGGTATGTTCTTTGATCTTGACCGTTGACATAATTACTCGTCTAAATCCAAATCATTCAATGAAGAAATATTATTTTTTTTCTACGTAGTTATCCCAAATAATTCGCTGTTTATTTTTTTTAATTGCACTGAAAGAACAAAAAACATCTTATTCTTTCTCAAACAATTTCTCATTTTTAGTTAAAAGAATTTGAACTTAGATGAAGTTCTGGCAATTTATTAGACAGAAACTATTGGCTCGGTATCACTACAATCTCATAATCCATACATAGTGAATTAGTCATATATATTCACATCATAATCCATAACATGTTAATGGAAAGCCAAAAATTCTACATGTCAAACAAGCTGCAAGAACAATATGTTCCTATTTCCTCTACCCACTAAATGCATGTTTCATTCAATTTTGCACTCAAAGGAACAAAAGGCTTTAGTTGTATGCCAGACGCCCCCGAAAAGAACAATATCTTCCCATTCCTCACACTCTGAACAAATAATTTCATCCAATTTTGAACTCAAAGGAACTAGAATTTCTAATTGTATGCTACGGTAGATCCTTTCAAAGACAACAGATAGGACGCTTTATGCTAAACAACACTGCTGACACTGATGAAGTTGAAGCTCTCAACAATGCTGCCATGCATATCCAATAAAAGATTAGATTGATTATCCCTCTGAATGGTGGAAAGAAAAGGAAGCTTAAAATAGTCAAGGGGGGAAAGAAAACTCTGTATAATACACACGATCTATCATTAAGATGCTTGCTTATGTAAGCAACATCCTTTTTCATAACATACGATCATTAATGAGATGGATAATGACAGCCTAACTAAAGAAAAACATTCAAATAAAAGATCTCATGATCGCTACTGATTTGAGACGCTGATAAGAGAAAGGAATTATCACGGTTTAAGTGGAATGTTGATAAATTGTACTAACAAATTGACAAGCGAAAGAAACAAAATTTATAAAAAAAAATATATAAAAGTATGATATAAAGAGAGACGATAACAATAAAAATAAGTTGCAGCGGCAGCAGAAAGTGCAACCGCTACTGTCATTGCAGGCATAACTTAAAGCTCTCCAATTCATCCTATACATACATTTCTCTGCCATTATTATTTCGCAACTGCGATATTCAAATCAATATGGAGAGATAGTTTCTCCTCTTATCTTACCCCCCCTTTGCTGCAACCTCTTCTCTGTTTCTTTTGACTATTAAACACAGAACAAAAGCTGCTTCGCAAAGTCTTGTCGTTGTAATCAGTTTTCTTCATAAGCGACGAGAGTCGCATAACATTGGAGGATAAAGGGCCGCAATAATGAAGCGTGGTACTTGTTTGGTCGTGGAAGGAAAAATCCTCAAAAGAACTAATAAAAGGGTGGTGGCGGAGGCGATGCGTATGGGACTCCGATGATAGGTGGCAACGGCCCTTCATATACAGGGGCAGGAGGAGGGTTGTATACAACCGGTGGCGGCGGAGAAGCTTCCGGTGGAGTTTCGCATGGAGGCGGCGTTGTCGGCGGCGGAGATTGGTAAACCGGTGAAGGTGGCGGCGGCGAAGGGTAAGTGTATTGAACCGGTGGAGGTGGTGAAGGGGAAGGAGTGTGAGATGGGTGTGGTGGTGGTGGTGATAAATGAGGATAAACAGGTGGTGGATGTGATTTTGGGTGTGGTGGAGGGAAGAATGTTGGAGCAGGCGGAGGTGGCGGCGGAGACTGGTCACAGTAGGGTGGCGTTGGAGTGGGTGAGGGTTGCTCCGGAGAAGGTGGTGCAGGGGAAGAATGTGGTGGCCAAGGATGTGTCGCCGGTGATGGAGGTGAAGGTGTCCCTGGTGATGGAGGTGAAGGTGTTCCAGGTGACGGAGGAGAAGGTAGTGGTGAAGGTGTTGAAGGTGATGGAGGTGTGTGAATTGGTGAAGGTGTTACGGGTGATGGAGGTGTATGAATTGGTGGTGTTATAGGTGATGGAGGTGAAGGTAGCGGTGAAGGTGTCGTAGGTGATGGAGGTGTATGAATTGGCGAAGGTGTTGTTGGTGAAGGAAATGGTGAAGGTGTTGAAGGGGATGGAGGTGTATGAATTGGAGAAGGTGTTGTTGGGGAAGGCAATGGTGAAGGTGTCGTAGGTGAAGGTGTTGAAGGGGATGGAGGTGTATGAATTGGAGAAGGTGTTGTTGGGGAAGGCAATGGTGAAGGTGTCGTAGGTGAAGGTGTTGAAGGGGATGGAGGTGTATGAATTGGAGAAGGTGTTGTTGGGGAAGGCAATGGTGAAGGTGTCGTAGGTGAAGGTGTTGAAGGGGATGGAGGTGTATGAATTGGAGAAGGTGTTGTTGGGGAAGGCAATGGTGAAGGTGTCGTAGGTGAAGGTGTTGAAGGGGATGGAGGTGTATGAATTGGAGAAGGTGTTGTTGGTGAAGGAAATGGTGAAGGTGTTGAAGGGGATGGAGGTGTATGAATTGGAGAAGGTGTTGTTGGGGAAGGCAATGGTGAAGGTGTCGTAGGTGAAGGTGTTGAAGGGGATGGAGGTGTATGAATTGGAGAAGGTGTCGTAGGTGATGGAGGTGAAGGTGTTGTAGGTGAAGGAAATGGTGAAGGTGTTACAGGAGATGGAGGTGAAGGAAATGGTGATGGTGAAGGTGTTGAAGGTGAAGGAACAAATGGTTTACACTTAAAGGAGTTACAGTCCACAGGCTTAGACAAGAACGACTTACATTGCGCCGGAGGCCTCTGAAGAGGCCTGGCCGGCAAGCAGTTTCTCTGATCATCAAACGCCGGCAAGGCGAGGCACGCCGGAGGCTCGCCGGTGAAGAAGTTAAAAGAATAGGTAAAGTTCTGAAGATTTGGCAACATGCAAATACTAGCCGGAATTTTACCCGATAGCAAGTTGTGCGCCACATTCAGCTGCTCCAGGCTGACGGCGTTTCCGACGGCGTCCGGCAACGGACCCAGCAGCTGGTTGATGCTCACGTCGAACACCGTTAAGTTCTTCAAACGCCCAATCTCCGAGGGCAAGCAGGATCTGAAGGCATTGTTCATCAAGATAATCTCGTTGAGGTTCGACATGTTGCCCAGGCTGGGCGGAATGCAGCCGTGGAAATGGTTGTTAGCGAGCACGATGACGGAGACGGGCGAGTTTCCGAAGTTGTCGGGAAGGTCAAAGACGAAACGGTTGTCGTTTATGAAAATGGCGTCGAGGTCCTTATCGAACAAGTCCCTGGGCACCGTCCCTTCGAACTCATTGAACCTGAGATCCAAGAATTTGAGCGAGGGAAGCCGCAGCACCACCTCAGGGAACTTCCCTGCGAAGCGGTTGTTACTGAGATCCAACTCGTAGAGAAGTTTGAGCCTCTCAAACTTGTGCGGCACAGTGCCGCAGAACCTGTTGGAGTTTACATGGAAGAGTGCGAGATCGACGAGCAAGCCAAGCTCTTCGGGTAAGTAACCGGCAATGTTGCCGTGGTTGAGATCAATGCCGGCTACGGTGCGGATCTTTGGGTTGTCGAGCGAGGGAGCACAGTAAACTCCGGTGTAGCTGCAAACATCGGATCCAACCCAGTCGGTTGTCTGGTTGTGGGGATCGGACAAAATGGCTTGCTTCCAAGCCTGCAAGGCTATGTAAGCGTTTCTGAGAGGGTCGTTTTCGAAGGCTAGGGAAGGGTCTAGCGTCACATTCTCTTCCCTGTCGCCGAACTCGTCTCTGTAGTAGAGAAGCTGGCGTTGCCCAACATTGCCTTGCGCTGAGGCACACGCTGCCAAGTAGAGTGTGGCTAGCAAGAGTGTGAGAGTAGTGGAGGAGTAATAGTATGCTTCTTTCTGCTTCATCTCACCTGAGGAAAATGAGGATGCCTTCTAGGGATTCAGGAGCTGAGAGGGTTTCTTTATGACGGATAGAGAGAGAGGGTATGGGTGAAAATGTGAAATAATTCATCAAAGGGACAGCTACACCACAGCTCAAACCTACCAGATTCTCTCTCACTCATTTATTTTTTTTCATTACTAAATTTTGCTCTTTAATTTTTAAAATATTTCTTTTTCCGTTTTATGTTGTACTATCTGAAAACCCAAATGAGAGGAAAAGACTTGATTCATAGTCTGCCAACCAGCAATATTCAATTGCTGCTAACAGTATTTTAAGTAGTTCTTGTTTCCCTTCTTGAGTGTTATAATATTAACCAGGATTTGGAGGGGTTTAGTTAGTTATATGGTGCAACGCCTCACTTGTTTGACAAACAATAAGTTAACTTGATAATTGGAAGCATCAGGGTGGATTTAGGGAAAATGAGCGAGTCGGTGGCGGGGGAGTGTCGAAATGGTAAAATTAAGAAATTAATGTTTGGTGGTTGATTTGGTAGACATTGGATTGGATTTAAGATGTGGAAAGTAGAGTAAATTTGTTGAGTTGTGTTGGTAAGAAGGGCGTTAAAAAAATTGAATTAAACTAAATTATTTGTTAATTAAATTAAATTATAAAAGTAATTTATTTAAATTGAACAAAATTATAAAATAATTTAGAAAAATTAAATTAAATTATTTTTTAATTTAATTAATTATAATTTTAAAAGTTCAAACTATACTATAATTTAAATTGAACTAAATTATTTTATTATAATATTAATTAAACTACATTATTAAAAAATGTGTCTAACATAATTTAATTTAAAAAATAACTAAAAAAATTTAAGTGGTAAATCAACTAATATTATTTATCAAAAATTTAGGTAAAATAATTTAAATTGATTTTCTTGAACTATATTTTATATTGAATTACTTTTATGCTTTAAATCAAACTTTTTCTTGTAATTTGAATTAAATGGAATTGATTTTGTGATAATTTAGTTTTTAAAATCAAATTTAAGTTCAATTTAATTTTTATAAAAAGATAGTCGAGCATTTTTTATAATTTAGTTCAAGTTTTCTAGTAATTTAGTTTGAAATAATTTTTAAATAGCTCTATCAACTAATAAAAAATTATTTCAACATAATCAATTTTCTCGAATTTTAAGTATATGTAGTTGTGTTAAAAAAAATTAGACAAAAAAAATATGTGACTCTTGAAAAATGTCATTTTTTTTCTTTGTATTTAACTTAAAATATTATAGATGAACCATACATACATAACACAAATTAATTATTGTAATAATTTTTAAGTGTTAAATAGTTTAATTTATAAACAATGTGTTTTAAAAGAAAGTTTAATTTTAATACATTATTTATACAATCAAATCAATTAAAAATCATCATAAATACAAATTATCAAATAATTATTAAAAATATCATATTTAAGATTCTTGTTAATGTATAATTGAATATATACATTTTAAAAAAATCTTTAAAACATATAATTTTATTTATAATAAAAATTATTACTTATACAAAATAAATATAATAATTATACAAAATTCACTACAATAATTTTTTTTTATAATTACATTGCACTAAATTACATCTAATAATAACTTGATTTTTTAAATTGACTTTAAATATAATTTAGTTTTTCTAGTTTAGTTTAATTTAATTTAATTTTTAAATAATTTAGTTGAAAATAATTTTAAGAGATTAGTATCAAGTACTACTGAACAGAAGAAGGAAGGAGAGGGGTCTATAATGTCCACGTCAGTAGCCTTGGACTTTCTCATTGGGTAGGCCTACATTCCGGGGATAAAGTTAGAACCCTATCTAAAAAAAAAAGTTGGAACCCATTATTACCATTACTTGTGATCCATTTATGTTCCCTGACGTGCACACGTACAATGCGTTAGATTAATTACTCCCTTAATCTGTAATAAATATTATTATAGATTTTTTTAAAATATAACCTCAAAAAATTAATAAATAAATAAAATTAAATAATTATTTTACAAAATTAATATTTTTTTTAAGTATACCTTTAATTTTTTATTTTATTTTTTAGATTTATTTTAATATCTTATTTTTTAAAATATTCATTTTAATTATTTGTATTTTATATTCAAATAAATTTATTTTTTTAAATAATAATTATTTTCACTTTTGTGACATGATTTTAAATCAATTATTGACTAATTCAAGATATGAAACTCATAATATTATATTTATTTATATGAAAACTATGAAATGCAATTGATGTTTTAGTTCAAAAAGATTATAAATATAATGAAAATTATGTAAAAATTTATTTCATAAATAAATAAATAAATATATGAAATTAGATCTTTAAACAAATTTTATTTTCACCATGTTTATAACATATTTGGTTTGAATCTAATTGCGTTCATTAGTTTTCATATATGTGAATTTTATAAAACGTGTTTCAATTCTTGAATCAGTCAAAAAATAATTTAAAATAACTAAACTAACCTAAGTTTAGGAGATAAATGACTAAAATATATATTTTAAAAAAAATAAATGATCAAAATGAATATAAAAAATAAGATAAAGGATAAAAAATATAATATTATTGAGATTATAAATAATAAATAATTAATATATAAAAACACTATTTATTTTGTGATTTATTTTCTCACATAACACTTGTGTTAATGGAGTAATAAGATTATACTTTCTTTGTCCCATAATATCTGTTGTTTTGAGTTATTTTATGCAGATCAAGAAAAACTAATAAATAGATGAAAGAGAATAATGATTTTACAAAATTAACCATGTGATTAATCTTCTTTGATAAAAGTAATGCAACACAAAACTACTTTTTACATAACATTATTTGGGTATAAATGGATAAGAGCTAACTAATACGGCATTGAAAAATTATTATGACACTCATTTTAGGACAATTTTTTTATACAACATTTATTATGAATCGCGAGAGTATTATTTATGACATTTCATCAATTTTATGTCAAACTAATTAGATTTTGTAGTACATAGTATTACATTAGCAATGAGTTAAACATTTTGAAAGTGATAACTAATAAACAAACATGTTTCTTTTAACTGTTGTTAATACCAAGTATCTATCAGTTTAGTTGGTGATCAATTTCTAAAAAACATGTTTGACCACATTTAGTGAAGTCTCTCTTTTCAATCATATATTTTCATACACAAGAATCGAATTATAGACTTTTCTCAAAGTAGTTAAGTCTAGTAGACTTGTTAATTATAAAATCTCATTTGCAATCACACAAATAGAATTTCACATTGTTCCAAATGCAAAATAAGGAAGCAACATTTATTTTTTGTTTTGACATTAAACTAATTTTTTTTTATGTTCTAACTCTAAATCAAACACATTTTAAATTGTTATTTTTGTAGCAAATGTAATGATCTGACAAGTTACAAAACTTAATATAATACAATTATTACGTAATGAAAATTATTAATTAATCGGCTACACTACAATTCTCATGCAATAGTCACGTGGATATTCATGAAACAAATATATGTATAAGGTGCAAAAACTTAAAACATTTATTACTTATAAGATTGAAAATCGTGAAGTCTCTTACAGGATTTCGCATATACCTTGTATATATATACGATATACATCAAAATAAGCATGTACCAGTAACATAAATCTATCACCAATCAAGCACCAATGCAGAACCATACTACATTAGAAACATTAGAACATTATATACAAAATTGGTCATCTCCAACATGACCATCCAGTAATAAGTTAGAAAATTTACCCCTTAACTTTATATCTTATTCAATTGGTCACCTTATACATGACTTGATTTGACCCTATATTATTTCCATATAAAACCTATATGATACAACATGAAAGCAACATTAAATTAATTATAACATTTATATTTTAAAAAAATTGATATATCATTTGTTAATTTTTTTAATAAAAAATTAAATGTAAATTTTATGCAAAGAATAAAATAAAAAACAATGCTAAATAGAAATTAAATTATAATTAAAAAAAACAGTTGGAACAATCTTATCGAAAAATATTTGTAAAATAAAATAAACTATTCTATAAGCTATAATAACTATATGTTATTTTTTGTTCATTTTATTTCCTTATTTTCTCTCTCTTATTTTATCCATGATAAACTTTAATTTGCAAAGCTTGCAATTATAGCTTGGGTAAAAAAAATAAAAAAAGTTTTTACAAATTTTAAAAAATAAAATAGAAACAGTGACAGCTAACAGGAGCGTCACTTTGTCCTTGACCAGTTCATTCTTTGATCCTGTGACTTTCATGTTATTTTTTGCCTCTAACCTGTTGCGTTGCGTGTCCATATCAGATTGTTGTGCACCTTCTCCTCTGGGATTGGACCCACCAAACATGACGGATTGAATCCTGTCCACTGCGCAACGCAAAGCGACAACCAATAAAATTGTCGTCTTGGGACCCACGACTCACGTTGTTCCCAGCTGGATCATCAACGTTGAGGATTGCGGACCCATCTAACACTGTTATGGTGCATCGCGTCCGCATCTCTTGCACTTCAACACGCACCACCTTTGCACTTTTCTACTCCAAATCAATCGTCTGAGAGCATTTACCATACTCTCAATCATTTTAAACGGGGCTTACTATGTCACGTTACTCATAAGTAATTCATATTATATTTTTACAATTTTTGCTCCAATAAAAATTGCTTATAAGCATCCCAACTTTTTTATAATTTATACTACACTTTTTGACACCTCACACTATAAATTTTTATAAAATTAATTATTATAATAATTTATGTACATAAATTTAAATGATGAAAAAGGAAAGTAAAGAAAAAGAAAACAGAAGTAGGAAAGCACTGTTGCTTCTGCAAGACACAGAGCCAAATTTTTTTTTCCTTCTTATGCCACGTAAGCCTACTCCAATGGGCATTCCTTGTTAGAGACGATACTTATAAATAAGAATTTGGTTAAGCACCATCCGATGGAGGTGCTCTAAGTCTATACACTCTGCGTGTACCATTCACAAAATTAATTAGCTTTCAATAAAATTGAATTTGTGAAAAATATTTTCATTATAATAAGTTTTGGTATAATGTGA